GTGGGACGCGGTCTCCCCCAACCAGCCGCCGCCACCGCAGGTAACAACTCCCGGGTGCACGGGAGGTGAAGGTTGGGGCAGGTTTGTTTGTGCTGGCCAGAGCAGGGGAGTAGAGGTGCCCAGGTGAACTCTCATTCACCTTTCAAAAATAACTTGTTTTGATCCAGGCTTCGGGCTGTCGTGGTTTTGAACTCGCTCGCTTTCCAAGGCTTGAGGTAAAAATCAGTGTTCCCACTGGAAGGCGTTTCATTTCCTTCCAAATGCTCCTTTTCATGTGGCACCAGCATTTCACATTCAAGAGGCTGGGGGAGGTGCCCGGGCGGGCTCATGCAAGGGAAAATCAGCAGCCACATCCCTGGGCGTCTGGAACATGAGATGGCACCTGGGATTCAGCCTCGGATGCTGCTTGAAATGTGTCTCAGCTGTTACCAGGAGAGTGCTGGGGCTCCACTTCTGCAGCCCAAGGAAGAAATAGCACAAGTCTGGCAACTTGCTGTGGGCATCACTGTGGGTGTTGCCTGCCAGGGCTCCCCTGTGGCAGGGGCTCCTTTGTGCTGTGCTGACACCAAGTCCAGGCTAGTCAAGGGTTGTGCTGCTGGAGGGCATCTCCTTTGTAATGCCCAGAGTGTTAAGAGTTCAGAACAAGAGTCCTGGTTTTTGAAGTCTTCCCTGCCTTCCACGCTCTTCATGTCTTTCCTCATGAGCAGGACGAAGACTGGCATGGTTTATGTTTCCATGTGGGTATTTAAACCCATATGAGAGGAGTAAATAGCATGTTCACTTCTGCAATGAAGAAAGAGGGAGGAGACTAAGTCTTTGGGATCTTGTTTTATTCCAGTTTTGCTTTTCCAATGGGAAAACTGGTTGATGACAATAGGTAGCTGATGGCCTGGTGGTGATTCATAAATATCCCTCATTCATTCATCTGATTAAAAGAAGAAGCAAGTAAATGCCAGAACACAATGTCTCAAAGCAATACACTCAGCCAGTATGTGCTACCTTGCTTTGTCTGGTGTTTTGTTTTCTATTCGTGTATTGTGTCTTATTCACAGTTGGGCCTTATACCACATGCACTTACATGTATACATGCATAAATCTTCTTCTTTGTGAATCATCTTGTACTCGTGGGCAAAGTCATGAATCTCTTCACACAACTGAGTCTCAGGTACTCCCAGGTTTAGTCATAAATGGGATTATAGCAAAGGTAAGGTATAATGCAAAGCAATAATAGAATACAATACAGCTGGCTGACAGCAGGCCCAAATACCACACTCATTTTTCTAGCATATGTGTTGCTCTTTTTAATGGTAATTTAGAGGGAAGGAAGTGAAACAATATTACCTATTTCCCAGTTTCTCATTTCTGAGTATGGGGCTCCCTGTCAAATCTGTCTTCAGCTTTCTTGACACGGGGAGTTGCTATCCTTGTTCATTTATAACATTGTTTTCCTCAAGGAAAATCCTGATCTTAACCTTCAGCAGTTTATTATTGCATGGACCTGTGAAGTCTGGTCTCCAGTTAATATTGACCTGTGCATGTGAATATTCTATTTTTTAAAAACCATAATAATTCCTCAGGTCTTTTAGAAGAAATGAAAGAGGAGCTGCCAATCGAGATCCATCATGGCTGTCAATCCATCAAAGAGACTTGCCTGGAGTGACTGTGAGTAACTCAGGAATATTTTTGCATCAGTTCTATGTTTCCCTGGATAATCTCCAGTTTTTCTTGCAGCATTGTGGTGTGCATGCTGCTAGCTGTGTGCAAGCCATTCTGAAGCTGTGCTAGTCTCACCTGTGCTGGCCTTTCTGCATTTTCAGAGGAAGAAACTGGGAGTGACTGTTAGATGACGGCAAACAGTACCTGACTCAGACAGCTGGAAACCTTCACCTGTGTCTCTCTAGAGTTAACATCTGTGACTATTGCTTCTGTATCGAGTGGAGGAGGAGGGCTGGTAAAATGCCAGCCTATACAGGAATGTCAGCCCAGTGCCCTGCTTGTAGGACTGATGACTGTGAAAGAGTTGGTGCCAGCCTGTACCCTAGAGAAGCCTGCTGTCACTGAAAGATGACTTCTGAAGACATGGTCTCATTTCCTTTGTGTATTATTAACTGAGGAGGAGTCTGTTTGATGAACATTAGTAACCATGTCAGTTTTAACGTTTGGCCTTTGCAGAGAGTTCTGATAACATTCAAAACTATACTGAAGGTTATTTTCTTGTCATTAAAGACAGAAGTACCTTTCTTGGACCAGTCTGATCCATGTGGTACATTTACAGCCAGCTTAGAGTACATGGGTGATGGAGGACTCAGATACCCCAGATCATGTTGATGGCTGGGGAGAATGGACTGAAATATCATAGGTCCACAGAAAATAAATTTAGATACAGCAAGGCTATTTAATCAAGTAGAGCAAGCTTAGCTCATGCAAAGTATTTTGGGAATGAACAGGAAATACCAAAGTCCTAGAACCTCTGTGCTGAGGAATAGAGGCGTTACTGTTGTCATCGCTTCCAGTTCTGCCTCAGCCACTCTAGGCTCTGGGCTTTTCTCTGCTTCCAGTTTCAAGTGCAGCTAGCCCAGCCAACTATGCATTGGTGCTGAGATATGTTTTTCTGTAGAGCTTAAAATTAAACTGGACCTTCATGTCCATGATTTCCTGTGCATGCAGATAGAGAACCATAGAATCATTTTGGTTGGAAAAGACCCTTAAGATCATCAGGTCCAACTGATGATCTAGCACCTACTAGCACCCTCCCAAATCTGCCACTAAACCATGCCCCCAGGCACCACACCTACACACCTTATAACAGGATCCATCACAGCCTGGGCTAGATGCTGCCAGAACCATCATTTACACTGAGATAAATGATGCGAGGAGGGAGAGTTTCACCAGCCTTGCAGTAAAGTTGGGAACTGCTGTGGGTGCTGCTGTCTCTTATGAGTTCAACATATAATTGTTAAGAAATCCTTCTTTATTGCATGATGCTTCTAATGTGCATCTAGTGATGGTCCACCAATCTGTGAATGCCTGTTATGAGTTCTGATTCCCAAGATTTAGGAGAGATGTCTGAGGAGCTGGAAGAGTTGCCGTTAGGCAAACTTAGCTTTCAGGGTTTAGATTTCAGCATACAAGAAACGTTTTCTTTAATAAATTGAACATAAATATTTGTGGATGAATAAAAAGACATACCAGTGAGCAGACATGTAGGACTGAGAGCAGCCCTCCAGACTAAGAACATTGTTCAGTGTAACAAAAGAAAACAAGAAGTGAGCTGGATGTGTGCAGAGCACCACAGGACACAGGTAAAGAAAGGAGACCAGTCAAATTAAAAAATTGGTGTAACTGTTGTGTTTCTCTCATTTCTCTTTACAACAGATGCTTTTGATTCAGAGCCCAGAAAAAATCCTGAAGATTCCCTTGAGGCCCACAAGAAGAAATCAAAAGAGAAGGAAAGGACACTGGCAGACAGTCAGTGGGACATGGATGTACAGCCCCTCATTTCATCTTCTAAATGGCTTCAGCTTCATGGGCTCAAAAGAAACAAATTGTCCTTGCCCCAGATTTTGTCGCAGATTGGATTCCAGCACAGGCAAGGTATAAGACAAATAAATAATAGAATAATATATTAAAAAAACCCCTTTGAGTAGTCTTTAGAGTCACACTTATTTTGCACTCCAGTGTACACAGAGGAGATTTTCTTGTTTTCCTTTATCTTACGGTAATGGCAGAAAGGGAAGCTGTATCCACAGTTGCTGACATGGCCAGTTTGGAGAACTGAGGAACTCCAGTGCCTTTTGATCTGAGAAAGACTTACGATCTGAGAAGGGATTTCCTTACTCGACTGTACTGTTGCTTTACCCTAGGCAAGTTCACATCCTCTCCAGTTTAGCTGTAGCTGGGAAATAACTCGTGCTGCTGAGGCTGTTAGTCTTTTTTCTGCAAACAACACGCCATAAGATCTCTGTCTATATTTAGATGGCAAGTGTAATGCATGCTGTGCCATAATCTGCAATCTAGTTCATCACTAGGACGAGCCACCTTGCTTGGGAATAATATATTATTTCCAGAGATCCAGCTTTAAGGAAGCTGTTGAATTTGATTAGAATTCAGGCTGCTTTTCATGCAAAGTCAGGCTATAGAAAAATATTCCTTTGCAGTTATCTGACAGCTGGAGGGGAAGAGTTTGCTAATAATTATTATTCACTGCCATAATAATGTTCTGCAGAGCCTGGTAAGGCATTCTTTTAAGAGCCTGCTGCCTGAGAAGTAGGAATTGTAATGTATTGCAATTGCTCTAGGTTGCATAATTTAAGATTTTGGCTGGCTTGTGTCCATAGGTCACTCAAAGATCAACAGTGGCAATCCTGAAATCCTGTATGTTGAGATGAAGAAGGAGCAGAATGTACTAGATTAGCAGGGCAGCATGCTGTACAGAATGACTGCTTTTTGTGATGTTAAATATTCCCACCCCTAATGTTTTCCTATCAGTGGAGATCCTGTAGAAGACTTCTAGCTCCTGAAAGAGCATGGTGCAACGTTTTCCTTAGTTGCACCCACATCTGCACCCGTTTAGTTGTGTAAGAGAACAACATTATCTGTACCAGATTTTGTATTTTGTTTGATGGACAAATATTTGCAAGTCCTGTTGTGAGGTAAATGGATAATACAGAAGTTTTGTTGCCCAAACCTTTCATTTATTAAAGTCCCATGTAGCTTTTTGGCCTATAATTAAATGTGGGGGTTTTCCCCACTTCTTACTAAACTGGCAGAGAGCAGCAACAGCAGGGCTGCTCCATGGTGGGAAAATGAGCCAGGAGCCAAAGGAGGCAGCAGCCCAGGCAGTGCCCTTACTGACCAGGATGCAGTCCTGCAGCATCTAAGCACTGCAAGCAGAACAGGATGCTGCTAACAGTGGTCACAAACAGTCCCAGACAAGGTGAAGTGATGAAGCAGGTCTAGGGTCCAGCCAGGGAGTGGAGCCAGAAGCAGCAGGAGATGGAGCCAGAAACAAGACTGAAGACAAGGCCACAATAGGTCTAGGAGCCTGAGAGGTCTCTCCAGGAGAGAAGTCCATTAGCAGAATTTGAGGTGCACCTGCAACACAGTGAAGACTGGGCACCCAGGCCTGACCACCCTGTGACTGGAAACCCCAGGTGTGGCTGATCAGGGCAATCAAGGCCTGTTGGTGCTTGCAGGGACCCAACCTAAACATACCCAGAAAAAAAATGTAGAAAGAAAACAATTTCTGTCTAGTTTCTTAACGTCAGGAGCTCAATACAGATGCATGGATGGTATGCATAGTAACGTGATCAATTTCTGACGTAATCCTTGTGATTAGCCTCTTGATCTCATGTAACCTTTACTGTAGATTATGTGACCACCTTGGGGAAACTTGTGGCTTCTCGGTATGCAGATGGTCTGTTCCCTCAGTACAAGAGGGTGCAAGATGGCAGCGTGTACCATGTAAGTGTGACTGACTTCTGGTTACTTCCCTGTGCACTTAAAAGTTTGTATCACTGTAGCAGAGTGATGTGGCTAAGATGTCTCCCTATTGCATGAAATAATTATATTCTTTATGTGAGAACTTCATCTCTTGATCATTTTTTTTTCCCCCTGTTTTGTCTGTTAGTGACAACAATCAGTGATGTAGAAGCTAGATATATTTTCTTTTTTCCTTGCAAAATCTCACACTTTTGCCTTGGTGCAGCATTGCAGTAAATCTTCCCAGGCAAGACTGCAATATCTAAGCAATATTTACCCTGTCTTGAAAGAGGGAACACTTAAAAAGAAGATGCTCAGCCGAGTTAAAAATAAAATAAATATATAGTCAATAAAAGAAATTGAGATGCTGAAATAAGAAGACATAAGGCGCTGTCATTGCCAATGCAGAGTGCTGCTTTACTTAGTGCCAGCAGGTCACAAAAGGCTCAGCCTACTCAATAGAGACAGCTAGCTGGATCTGTGCCCAGGCTCATGTTTTAAGGAATGTCTTAGCAACAGCTGCTGTCAGCCTCATTGTTGAGAGGATGGATTCTGATTGAAGAGATATGCATGTGAGCAAGGAGGGGAGAGAGTTAATTCATAAAGGATTTTACAAAAGCAAATGGCTTGTCATGTTTTTCTGGTAACTAGCTTCTCAGGCACAAGGGAAAAGAATTATTCCAGGGGGCCTTTTCCCTCATTTTTTTCCTCAATAATTCCATGGTGAATATCTATCTGTCTTTTAATCTTAGGATATGTTGGGAGCAGTAGGAAGGACATTTCTGGTAGCATCAAAGTAGCAATGACACTGTACAAGATCTGGTGAGATCTCATTTAGGTTGTTGTGTACAATATTGTGTACAGTTACCACAAGTTGAGAAGAAGCAGTTCAAACCACAGTAGGTACTGGAAGAGCCAGTAGGATGAAGTGCAATAGAGTGCTGATCTTACAAGAGAGCTTGTTTGATGGTAACATGTCTAAGTAAGACAAAAAAAGACTGACAAAGGGTAGCATTATTGCCCTTGAATGCCTACAGAAAAGCAAATTACAGGGATAGGGAAAAGCTGTAGTTTTCTATGCTAAAAGGCTTGCTAGTCAAAGAATAAATGGGTATGAACTGCCATGAATGTGTTTAGGCTGGACAGTTAAGAGTTTTCCAGCCCTCAGAGAAATGGGAATCTGGACTGGCTCGCTAGAAACGAAGAAGTGGTGCAAGAAAATTATTTTGAAATGGAGTTTGGTCAGTGTAGTGCAGTAAGCTTCTTTGTATGAGTCTGGCTGTCATAGGAGGAAACTGGATTTTCTAAGTGCTCCTTCACAGGCCTACATTCCTTTGGCAGGCAGCCTGAGACTGTATCTGGGAGGCACATTACAGGGCCCTAGCTGACATTAAAGAACAGAGAAGAGTAGGAACAAGAGGAAGAAGTGTGCAGTCTGGCACACCAGATATCTTCTCCCTGAGAAATGTTCTTGTTTATAACCATCTTTATCTCCCAAGGTTTTGTACTTGGTTCTGGAAAGGTGTTTGGAGGTAGAAGGTAGCTGGTAGATTAGCTGACATGGGTCAGAGATATCGGAGGATTGTCTTTACTGGAACCTGTGGGGAGTTTTAAAACCCACAAATAATTTTGCATGGTGAATGTGTTTGCATGTATTCATAGGGAGGCTTTGCTGTTTTTCATTTTAATACTGAATCTGGGTTTTTCTTGTTTTATTGATACTGGTATGGGAAGTTTAAGTTGTTGGCTGCAGTTGCCTGAACTAAGTTTGCCTAAGAACCTACCCATAAATAGTTAAGCTGTAATGCTGGGCATTGCTGGTGAAAAAATAGTAGAAACAGGAAATTTGTTAGGTTTTCCCTTCATACACTACAGACAAGGTGGAGACTGAAGTGCCCCAGAAACAAACCGTAGGCTCCTTTGTATTGCTGTACAAATTTTTAAGAGCCAGTCAAAATTCTAGCCTAAGAAGGGACAAAGTTTCTGTGTCCTTGTTTGTTCACCCATCTGCTCTGCAGCGCTTTCTTTATCCTAGCAGCTCATTCTAATTGCTCCAGTCTTGAGACAGGCAAGTCAGACAACCCACTGGCACTGTCCCATGCTCGTGTAATAAGATTATGAAAAGCAATTAGGACAAAATGCAGTTTCTTTTCTATTATAGCTTAGATGCACTTGTCAAGTATTTTGCTCCTGAAATAGTGGAAGAAAAATGGGTTGTTTTCACTGCTACCCTTGGCTGGCATATCTGGCACATGCAAACCAGCTATTGCAGCTGTGCTAAGCTCAGAGCTGCATTTGTGTTATTTGTTTTGATGTTCAGTTTCTTTCTCTCCCATATTTAAATAAAGCTGACAGCCAAAAAAGAACTGATTCTTCATTTTGTGGATTGCCTGATGGAAGCTATTGAGCTCTACCAGCAGCGAATGGAATGGTTAACCAGCGGGAGCCGGCAGATATTTGGGGTGATTCAAGAACAGTGCATTGTCATTGTTATGGATTTTGGCACTGCAGCTCCAGCTGAATTTGATCTATGTCGGGATGCACTTACTATGGTGCTTGAGGAACAGGTGACCCAAATTGCCAGATTCAACCTCATTTGGTAAGCAGAAAGAATCATAGAGTCATAGAATTATCAGGGTCGGGAAGGGACCTTTAATGGCCATCTAGTCCAATTCCCTGCGATGAGCTGGGACATCTTCAACTAGATCAGGTTGCTTAGTGCTCCATGCAACCTGGCCTTGAATGTTTCTGGGGTGGTGCTTCTACCACATCTCTGGGCAACCTGTTCCGGTGTTTCACCAACCCCATCATAAAAATGTCTTCTCAATATCTAGTCCAAATCTACTCTCTTTTAGTTGAAAACCATTACCCCTTGTCCTCTCGCTACCAGCCCTATTAAAAAGTCTGTCCCCATCTTTCTTATCAGCCCATTTTAAGTATTGAAATGCTGCAATAAGCTGTCTCTGGGATGTCAGTTATTAATTGAAATAATTAACATTTTTGGGAAAAAATCAAATTTGGGGGAAAATCACATAAAAGAGAACAAAAGAGACACGTGGAATAAAAATAGAGATTACATAACAGAATTAGAAGAAAACAGATCCCAATTAGAGAAAAACGAGTCCCCAAGCAGTCAACCCTTGAGACAGGTCTGCAGCACAGCTGCAAGACTGAGGAAAGGGATGGAAAGGAGCACTACCCACAATTTACAGCCTTGAACACGGAGTAATTGGATTCACTGTACTAACGTACCATTAATATATACTAAATATACTAAAATACCCACCCATAGGCTAGAGAGACCCCTACTAATAAAAGGCCCCTTACTCTTTGAGCATGCCTAGTGACCTGCCATTTTAAACAGAAGTGAGGAACTAGTTAACCAATTGTGTGTGAATGACAGTTTAATATTAAAGTTATGTCTCCCACTTTTAGGTGTAAAAGTAGCACTTGTGTTTTGGGAAATTGAGCCTGCTTTGTGGAATACCACCCTGCACCCTTTCCTGTGGAGATCTGGCTATTAAAAGCAAGTATCTCCATTCTGTGTGTGGGTTGGCTTCTTGCACCACCGGGTGATGGACCCTGCTTTTGGGACACCACCTGGAGTCTTCTCTTCTCCAGGCTAAGCAAAGAAGTCCATGTCTGCCAATAGCTGGAGAACAGAAGGGAGTCTCATATCTTACAGACATGCATTTGGATGCATTCCCCTTTATGTAGTGGAAATTGTCCTGAATCATGTCATGGCAATATCTGTAGCTTTTCCACCAAGTTTCACCCACTGCCATGCTGAGCTTGCTCCTTCTGTTTAACAGAAGACCAGTGTTGCCCTGAAGAACAGATAAACATTGACAGAACCCAAAGACTGAGATATGCATTCTGCAAATGTATCACAGAAAACCAGAAAGATAAGGGGGACTTTGCAAGAGCAGCAATGCTCTTCAGGCATCTAAGTATTACAGAGTGAAGCAGTGAGATCCGATCTGACTGCCGAGGCATTTCTTCTGTCTCTAGGCATTACAGGTTTCTGCCTTACAGCTAAATGTACACTCCCCCCAGTGCCATAGGCACAGGCATAGTCATTTGTATTTCTATAGATTTATATGCTCACAGAAATCAGCAGAAGAACTGGGAGACAATCCTAGATTTCCATAACAAAGGACAAGTGCTTGTTCCCAGCACGAGTAGATGAATTTGAATATAAAAAAATAGAAGCAGCCATTCAAATTTTAAGTTATCCCTGCACAAATTCTTAAATATGCATAAAGGTTTGAAGGCATAAGCTTGGGTTTGGATAGATTGATGACGTTTTGTGACTATGAAAAAAAGAAGCACAAATTAGATCATGTATAATTTTAAACTAGGTTCCACAATGATAACTTGCAACTACACTGTGATTCTTATGATAGTTTTACCCAAGCTTTGTCCTACTGCCTTCATTCTGGTTTCCTATCTTAATTCTCTAGATTGTGATACAACTGACATTTGAAAAAAGGAAGATAACTTCCATAGCTTTGGAGAACATAAATCAATGTGTTTTTTTTAATTTTCTGCAAAGCCAAGTAAAAAATGAGGAACAATAATTGTGTTCATCTATTTGTTTGTTTATGTAGAAGAGAGACAAAGAGCAATATATCATAGTAATTATTGTTTTAAAAGAATCTTGGAATTGTAGGGTTTGTAAGAAAATCTTCAAAATACTGCTGGATGAAATATCCCAGATACTGGAACCAGTTATTTTTTTCATTTGCTTTCTGTCTTTTTGTGTACAAATGCACATGCTCATATGCTTTGTACTTCTGTATTATTGAGGCTTTTCAGCAATTGAAATACCAAAAAGCTTAGCTTCAGAAGTTTTGTTTTGATGGGTAAAGATCAGCACTACTACTACAAAAAATGTGTCAATTAAAATGGTCTGACACAGTGGTCATGCAGCAAGTTGTAGCAAGAGACCTCTGGAAGCCAGATTTTCTTTTCATACACATATTTGAAAAACTCAAATGTGTTTTTATGTTGAGAGAAGAGATGAGTTAGGAAATGTTTTTTAAGTACTTTTCTCTTGACCCTACTTAGGAAACAGTTGTCTCAAGAAAAATTCATATAGAATTGCAGTATTTTTTAAGGGTTTTATTTTCCCTCTACTTCTTTTATTGCAAATCTAGATTTAGTATCTGCCATTTATTGTAATGATTGCATAAGAATATGAAAGACTAGCAACAATAGCAGAGCTCCACTCTTTTGCTCTGCCAGCATTATTCTCATTATTTCTGATTTATAGCTGATGTCATTTTCAGGGCTGCTCAGGATCTGGTGAAGTGGCAACAGAAATCTACTCCTGTGTCTGAGCATACTGTAAAGTCTGCAGTTACATGGCTCTGGAAGCTGGACCCTGTGACAACTGCCAGCCCCAGCAGCTCTGCTGGAGCCCTGCTGGAAGGCAGGAGTGATGAGTCGGTAAGCTCACACAGCTTTTCAGCAGCACCAAGGAAATCCAAGACTTCTCACTGCCTGACTGACTAGTGTGGTTTGCCCTGATGAATATTGCAAAGATAAATATTAATGATGGCATTGGGAAGGTTTGTTGGTTGTTTTTTTTTTCCCCAAGTGTAGCTGCATGCTATGTTTGCTGATGGCCTGTTTATGTAAATGTACTGTATTTTGAATGCAGAAACTTATTTATTTTCTTTTCTGGAGTACACAGAATAAATAACATATTCAGACATTAAGGGAAAGTGAAAACATCTTCCCTTCCACTTTCTTTGCCATACATGTCTTTCAGGGCTTCATGTTCATGAGAAAATTGCTGGTACCAACATTATTGAAGGCAGGGGAAACTATTTTAATTCTGTTATGTATCCAAAGTGTTAATGAAAAATTTTATTTAAATCCAAAATAGTAAGTAGAGAGTTTTATTTAAGCATTGACTCATGGTAGGGCTGTGCAAATACATTTTCATCAGCCAGGTTATAGCTAGAGTTTCTTCCAGAACAAAAAGACAATGCATGCACAGGTATTGCTGCAATTAAATTCTGTCTGATTCTGAAAGTACCATATCACTATATTCACTATAGTAGAGCTACAAGACATAGACCATACATGCCATAATTTGAGATAGTCACTTAAAACTTGTTTTTTTAAAGAAATACCAAATTTGCATATAATGTACATTGTTTCAGTTCCCAACCACCCAAATTAAATGGCAAATTTGGCCTGCCTTATGTGGACAAGAAGCATTGTTTTTCACTGCCAGTAAGATCCACTCCTGTGCACAGATCCAATCCTAGCTCCTTTGTAATCTCATTCTGAGACATAGTTTGAAGAAGGTAAATTTGCTTGAGTTTCCTGCTCGTTCCCTGTGCTGGTAGGTTCTCACACAGATGAACCTTGATGTTTGGAAACTGGTATTAAAAAAGAGCTGGATGAGGAACAAATTGTGCAGCAGTGAGATTTTTTTATGATTGCTTTAAAAATGTTTATTTTGTAAATTTTATTAACATTTCCAATTTGTAGGATAGTATTGATTTCCTGGGGGGGATGGGGGGGGGGCCAGAAGGGAGCCTGTATTTAGATTTCAGTATTGCCTGGATGAAAAAGGCTTTTTGGACCTGGTGGGTCTGCCTATGAATAAAGAGAAGTTAAAATCCATCCAACAGTGAGACCTCTATTATTTTTTCTGGACATTGGTGCGCTAGTAGGTAATCTGGGGGAGTTGTGGCAGGTGCCACAATTGAAGACAAACTTCAATTACTCCTAAATACAGTCATTATAATTCATGACTGATAGTTCACTTGAGTGCAGCTTCACTGCACTGCAGGCTGTAGGAGACCCCATTCAGTCCTAGGCAAAAGCTGCATACTCCCTGGACAGTCCCAAAGGACTCATTCCTCAGAACTGGCTTAATCAATAGAATTGGCTCCAAAACAATAGCTCTTTTTTTTCCTTAGACTTGGCTCTTCCTGTCATTCCTTTAGCTGAGCTTTTCTTCCCATATGTGGTAACTCCCTAGATTTCCTTTCCTCATGACCTGTCAATCCCAAGCTCAAGATCCCTCTGCTGTAATATTTCAATCCTTTGAGCTCTGCCTGCCACAGATGCGTCCTCAGTGCAGTTCTGTACAGGTGCAAATTGTGGGTCACCCATCCAAAACATACCTCCCACCAAGGTAAAGACTTTGAGGAACTGTTCTTGTTGTTCTCCTTCCTCTTCGTGTATTAAGTTTGCTTCCTTACATGGCTTTTCAGAATATGAAGGACTAAATGGAAAGTTTTAACCTTTCTCCACTAATCTGTAGGGAACATTTCCTTTGTGGTCTGATGTTGCTGGGTTTGTAGTTAAGTAGAGTGGATTGTCTGTTTGTGGCTGGCAATTTTGTTTATTTTCTTGGGAGGAGCTGGTTCTGCCTCAGCTATGCTTAAGAAATGTCAGCATTTTTAAAAGTTGCAGAGGCAGACAGTAAATCCTTTGGAGGAAGTATGAAAATGTATATCCTTATTGCATATAAAGTTTATGAATTATTGGCAGTCTTAGGAGGGAGGAGGAGATGTGAATCTAAAGGAACACAGAGAAAAATGGTTGTGGAATATGCATTCCTGCAGATCAGGAGCCTCTTCAGGAAGAGGAATAGGACAAAGGTGTTGTCTAAGGACCTGGTGTCAGCTGGAAGGGCTGCAAGCATGTTTGGATAGATTTTTAGCTGGATGAAACAGAGGAAACCTTGTAAAACTGAGCTAAAGCACAGATAGGTGCAAGAGTTCTTCCATTTTTTTTCTGTGCACCTGTTCCTAAAACTAAGAAGTATTTTGTTAATCTTGCACTTTAATGAAACACATTAATTCTTTTCTTTAACCTTAGTATTTGTTTAGCATTAACAGTGATGCCTGTTTGACCATAGATGTGCTTGCTCCCAAGCAAGTGGGGTCTGTAACAATGGGCCCTGCCTCCCTCATGGAGTGTCTTGCCCCTCTACAAGATCCAAGGAAAGCCCAAGATGACAAGGTTAATTAATTTATTGGCTGGTCTAGCCTGAGATTGGGTTGCTGCTTGTGAGAGATGTCTTCCAGTGACTGGGATTAGACCAAGTATGGGTGGCAAAAGGTGGGGAAGGATGAGAGCTTGAAATCTGAAGTCCATGTCAGTTTGTCAATGTGCTTATGATGTGGGACAGTACAGGGATCCTACAGCCAGTTAAACAACTATTAATCAGATATTTCTCTTTGGTATGAACGATGCCATAGGACTGATATACTATGCTTACTGTCTTGAACTTAATTTTGGCATAGCTGTTGTTATATTTTTTTTAATGGTGGTGAAAATTCAAGAAGCATGCTTACCATGAAGATTGTTAGTATGGATAAGTGCAGGTAACATCCAATCCCTCATAATGTAATACTCAAGCAATAACTAAAGGATATAAGTAAGTGTGTGGGGTCATAATAAACCCTCTGCATGGGAAAGTATTAAAATATACAAATTATCTGTAAATACCAGCAGTGGCATTCAAAGAACGATGCATCTTTCCTAGCCTCAAAATACATGCTGCCAGTAAAAGCATGTCTGGCATAAAAGTTGCTACTGGTGTTCAGCCCTGGCAAGGCATCAGCACAGCATCTCTCTTCACAAAAGTGGAATGCTGCACAGAGCCTTGTCCTAACTAATGATGCAGTTGTATTGCAATTCCTTACATCTCTCTTTGGCTTCAATTAAGTTCTGTGGAAAGGGGTTTGCGTTGGGCAGAATCAGACCCAGAGGCTCCTCTCACTTCAGGAAATATTGTTTGGAGTTCATTTGAGTTACTATTATAAATGAGAGGGAGAACCAAAGGTCTGAACATCTTCTAGCCCAAATAATGACTCCGTTCTACTGAATTTTCCTACCAGTACTCAGCACAGGACAGGGACTGATTAAGTACCTGGTATCTGTGTAAAACAATGACTTCCAATTCCTGTTTTTTTTTTTTCTGTTTAATGACAGGTTGAAGCCGTTTATTACTTTGCTGTGGGTGATATTTCAGTGGACACAAAGCAGCTACTCCTTGAGAAAGTTTCTCATGGCCCATGTCCAGTCAACACCGTATCTTTCAATGCCAGGGAAGCTGAAACTATTTGTTTTCTGAAGGAGTTGAGCTGCTTGGCCTCTGGCAGGTAGGACAAAGAAGCATCACAGTAATTTTTTGGGTTATTGTAAAATGCTTTGCTACTGGGAATGGTATCTGAAGATCTCCCTGGTTTACTCATGAGAAGAATGAAACAGAGCAGTTCAGTAAGTGGGGAAACTGGGAAAACAGTCCAAGGTATATTACTAAGATACATGACTAAAATGCAGGACCAACTCCAACAGACCAGCTTCTGTCCACACAGGTGCTCACTGGCTTGCAGGCAGGGCAATCCTGCTTTATATCCAAAGTGGTCAGTCATCTGCTCCTCTTCTGAAGTCTGAAAAATTGTTCAAGGGGAAGAGTCACAACATAAACTGAAACAAGCTTTTATTGTATTTGTTTGTATTCTGCTAATATCTACAGGCACCAGCAAAGAATCTAGTGTTGTTGGATCAAGTGCCATACAGACATGTACTGAAAAGGGGATGCCTGTCCTAAGTGGGCAGTTCCTGCAACAACAGAAAGTGTGTTGGCATCCGTCAGGCCTGGTTGTGTGGAAATGCAGTTGTGTACCACACTCTCTAGCATCTATTTGGTGGAAACTCATATATTCCACATAGCTTGTTGGCTACATTATCTTGGGAATCAGCTGTGTAGTGAGAGTCAGCCTTCAGAAAGGGATAATAAATCTTTAATCTGGATTCTGCTATCAAAAGAAGAAAACCAAATGAACAAACACAAAACTCCACCACACCAAACTCATGCTGAGCAGCAGGAGGGCAGTAGGACGCTGTAGGTGTTTGCCTGTGTAACAGAAGTCACCGTAAAGTTACAGAGCTGTGAAATGGCTGCTGGCTCTTTCTGTTTCACTGTTGTTTGTGCAAGAGTGGGAAGACCTCCAACAGCAGAAATCTCACAAATGACAGCAGGGCAATTGGTAAGATGGCTGCTGTTTAGTTCTTTTGTAGCCATCTGTGTTTAGAAGTAGCTTTTAAGAGATGGAGCATCTGCCAAAAAAAGACGACTGGTCAAGTGTTACGTTTGCTCTGGCCTGATGTGTGTCTAAAATGTTTGTGGTCATTTAGAACCAGGGTACCTCCATGATACCAGGTACATTGTCAGTCACCTTCATTTTCTTTTGGCAGTGTTTTAACCTCCGTTATAAAAGGAAAGTGAATATTTCTTGTACAGTAGAGAAAGAGGCAAAAAGGATTGTAGTAGGGAGCTGAAAATAATTGTTTTATTTGTGATACCCACTATCTTCTTTTTGCATGGTGTGTCTTTGGTGCAGAGCCTTACCGGGCCAATTAATATCTTGCTAGTGGGTATTTGCCCAATAACTGTCTATAAGTTTAAGTCAGCTTTCCCATAGGAATGTCCAATTCATGGGCTTTTTATGGCTTGAGCCTGTTTCTAGTGTAGTTCTCTATTAGAAATGCATCTTTTTCCTGCTCTGAGAGCTTTTCTGTTTTGACAATGAGGGTAAATGAAGTCTGCTTGACTTCCTGATTTGTATGTTGATAATGAAATAAATGTTCCTGTTGGGCTTTCAACTGGGAGGATAATCTGATAAAAAGGTGTTAGTGTCATCTCAGACATCTCAAATGGCATGCTCGCTCAGCATGTTAAGAGCATTAATTAAAAAAGAGATTTCCAGGAGGTTGAAAAGGAAGGTGACTCAGAGTAAATGATACCAATATGAAAGGATATTCTTCATGAAAAGACCTCAGAATGTATTCAAATGTATATAAAGTTTTGACAATATTCATAGTGTTGTAGTAGTTGAGGGTTTGGATATCCTGAATGGATAAAGAACTCTGAAGTTGTACACCACTGTAATTTTGCATGTGTGACATACATCTTGTTAAATTTAGGGAAGTGTTTATGTAGTTTACGTACTGGTGAAAAATTTTGTATTACAGATTCCATGCTTTTGCTGAGAAGAACAATTATGGAGATTCTCCTGGACCTGCACTAAAATATGAAGAGGATGGAAAAGGTCTAATTGCCCTGAATTCCAGAAGAGTGGAAGGGCGAACGCCACTAGGTAGACAATGCAAAAAACAAGATGATACTGATTTTTCTTGGCAACATTTCAGAACAGAAATGTAATATAGGAGCTTGCTAAATGTAAAATCAAAAGAAGCCTTCCTTAGGCATGGGTGGGGTGAGGACAGGACTGATCAAAATGAAATTTTGTGGGTGGGAAGAAGAGGGAAAGGAAAAGAGAGAAGTGAAGAGAGCAGAGGATGTTCATCTGAGAATGAAAGAGAAGTGAAAAAAGGGAGAGGAACATTTATGGAGATAAAGCATAGTACTGGTGTATTTATGCCAGTGACCTTGTGGAAATTTATAGAGAAATTACAGAAAGGAAGAGGAGTATCATGTAAAATTATCTGATAGAACACCCACATCAATATAGGCCAAGTTAATATGTAACATAAAGGGATTAAAATCCACATGAAGTTGATTTGCTTATCTCAAGATCTGAATTTGTTGTAAAGACAGGAAACAACCCCAGTGTAATAACCATAGAGAAGGTGCAAAGAGTGTGTGTGTGTGAAATTGATTAAAACAAAAAAAGAAAAAATTCAGGACAAAACAAATAATGTAAATAAAATGTTTTACTGGGGAGTGGAGCTGGGCAGAAGTCTCTTAGTGTGTTTCTCATTAGTCACAATGTTACTCTGTCTGGTTTTAGTCAGCCTTTCTGTTCAGTGGGACAGGACTCGGGTTGAGGGGAGACCAGTTTGTGGTGTTCAATGAGGCTGTGTCTCACAGAATCGCCTTGGTTGGAAAAGACCTTCAAGATCATCAAGTCCAACCGTTAACCTGACACTCACAAGTCCTTAACTAAACCATATCCCTAAGTACTATGTTTGTATTACTCTTAAAAGCCTCCAAGGGTGGTGACTCCACCACTGCCCTGGGCAGCCTGTTCCAATGCCTGACGACCTTTTCACTGAAGAAATTCTTCCTAACATCCAATCTAAACCTCCCTTGGCACAACTTGAGGCCATTGCCTCTTGTCCTATCACTTGTGATTGCATCAAACAGCCCGATCCCCACCTCTTTACAACCTCTTTTAAGATAGTTACAGAGAGTGATGAGGTCTCCCCTCAGCTTCCTTTCCTCTAGGCTGAACCACCCCAGTTCCCTCAGCCACTCCTTGTGAGACGTATTCTGCAAACCCTGCATCAGCTTCTTTGCCCTTCTTTGGACACGCTCTAGTAGCTCAGTGTCCTTTCTGTAGTGAGGAGTATGTCAAGTCTAAAAACTTGAACAGGACATTACATTAAAAAATTATTTATTTGAACTATCAGGAGGCATAAGACCTCTTTCTTCTAGTGGCTCACATCCCTGTTATGCTGGGGGGCATTAGCATTGTCCCAAAGGTAGGATGGTGTTACTCTCTTCTTACTGCTAGGGAGAGTATGGCATAGGGTGGATTTAGGGACTCTCTCTCTCATTTGTCAGCCTTGGCCTAATTGGACCATATTTCCTGTGTTGAATTCTAGTTCCTTGTGTACTAACCTACCCTTCGCTAGGACCATGGTTATAACAATATGAGAGAACAGTAGTGGGTGGTCAGAAATAAGAGAGTGAGAGGTGTTTTCTTTTGCTTCATGGGCACTCAAGCCTTACCAGTGCAGGTTTTAGAAACCAGCAGCAGAGTATGCTTCAAAACCTTGTCTCTCATTTCATACTAATCCAGAGCAGTATAAGGATGGCCTTCAGTCTGCTCTGAGTGCTTCCTTGCTGGACCCCATCTGTGGGTGTGTGCAGGGGGAGCTGGCTTCCTCTTCCCCCAGGCAGTCAGCCTGTTTCAATAGATGGGCCTGGAGCTCCTGTATGACTGAAATTACTTCCTCACCACTGTTTCTAAAGCTGAAGGCTGAATGGCTTTAATCGCTCAAAAGGGCGGTAATATCCTTGAAGTGCATTGTCTGTTGTGTCTTATTGCTATTACGGGTAGGATTTACACATTAAAAAGGAACACAATTAGCTCTCTGCATTTACAGGGGCATTATAAGCCCAGTTGTGACATCATTGGCAGCCAATCGGAGCATTTCAGTCGTATTCAGAATATGAAGTCCTTTCAGAAAAGGAAACACATTGGAGACATTATTCTGGATTGTGTCTGATGTCTCTTATTTCAGAGACTCCTCCAAGGGTGTAGAAGGCAATAATAATAGAAGTGTTGGTTACTCACTAATGGGCTGTGAAACTGGTTCTTGGATGTCTGGCATAAAATATACAAGGAGGTAAATACAGAATGAACCCGAGATTTAATCTTCCAAATGTGGTGTTTCTTGACAATAAGAAGAGGCACAGGAATATTTTGATTATGTTTCTTTTTGCACCACAAGTGCAACAGCTGGAAACTGAAACTCATCATTATGTTTTATGGATGGGAGAAGTCGTTTTAAGGACATCCGATAGATTTCTGCTTATCCTCTGCATAACAGCATTTTTCAAATACAGGGTATCTTCACGTTTACTCTTCTTCATCTGCTTAACCAAAACAGGTCGGAAGTGAAATATTTAAAACTTCAGATAAGAGCTCCATTCTCCCCTGTTTTGCATCTCTAGCAGTCCTGTAGAAAGCAAGCGTGAGAAACTGCCAAATTTGAATTGTTTTCTTTGCACTCATTTTGAGTGGATGCTCAAGATCAAAACAGGTGTAAAGCAGTACAGAATTAAGGCCCTTACGTTGGCAGGCTTGGCTTTACTTAAGGCAGAGAAATGCTTTTACATAAAGCCAAACTGCACTGATGTGGTGATACATTCTCATCCAGCACTGATTTTCCTGTTGTCGCTTGTCCCTCCATTGTTTGTGTAGCTTCTTAATCTGCAAAAATCTGCATAATTAAGCAGCCCTTTTATGTAGCTAAAATTGTAAGTGGAAGGGAGGTGAAATTTAAGTTGGAATTTGAAGACATGGGGGCAAGAGATGGTGGAAGCTGCAGAGAAGAAGGTTCTTGCTGAAAAGGGGCAAAATTGTGTAATCTGCTTGAAGTGACAGTGAGAGAAGTTCTAAACAGGGCTTGAAAAGCAGTGATGGTTTGAACTAGATATGAAATGAATAGTGGATCCTCATCTGCTGAAACAGAAACAGCAGTAAATCTGTGCAGTGTTCTTCTGTGTGGTAGAATAGATAAGCTGGTATGTGTAAAGAAAATAGACTGAAATCAGGATTTGGCTGATGTGACAAATCCAAAGGGGGATGTGCCTGACCTCCTTCTGAACAGTGTAAGGCTGTATTCTTAGGTGTGCTTGATGTTCTACATTTACCTCCTTATCACAGGGAAAATTTCAGATTGCTGTGTATAAAATGGGAAGCATAAGAGCTCCAGCCTCCTCTATGACCTTGAAGTCAATGAACTCTGCACTGTTTATGTGCACCAACGTGAGAGAGAATGAACCCTCCCTTTGGAAAGCCAGAACAATGATTTAAGAGTAGCCACTTGGCCTACAGGCTGTAACAAAAATAATTGCCTCTGTTTTTTCCTTGCATGTGCTTTGTCTAGTCTTAGCAGCCTAACCTTGGCCTGGCAAATCTCTTTGCTAATATGTAGAGAGTGATGCAGGTGGCTGTTCTGCAAGTACCACATGGGATACAAAGTTCATTTGCTTTGTCCATTTGCCCAGTGGGAAAGGGGCAGGATTGAGCTACGGTGAGTTTCAGCACAGCTTGACCTGGCAGGTCGGCAGGTAAATCTCTGTGCTCCCCTCCTGTGCTTCTTTGCACCTCCATTTCCCCCTCCGGGTGGGGGTTTTAGAAATCAATGCTTGAGTGAATACCGCTGTGTTCTGCTGCCACACAGAGGCTGAGGAGGGGACTGGCAGTTAAGGAATGAAATTGCCCATCTTGCCTTGCAGGCAAACAGTTTTAAATAGATCTTCTTCCATTGTATTTGAATTTGCTTGTTTCCGTGGTCTAAGATAATCGGAGAAGTAATAAATGCTTCTGTTTTCTGAGTTGCTTTTGCATTGGTATTGGCTTGATGTTTCAAAGATGTTGTAGATTTTGCAGGTTTTTTGTTTTGTTTTGTTTTTTATGGGATTGTTTTTCTCAGCAGGTTTTGTATCTTGAGTCTGAAATAAAGTGAGCTGCAGCGACTTGTCACACCGGACGAGTCTGTTTGCTGGGAGGCAGGTGTGGGGTAGCTACCTCTTCTAATATTGCCCGACAGTGTTAAATGACTGGGAAACGGCAAGGAGGGTGGTGAAGAGTTTCCGCGTACATGTGTTTGGCTTTTCCTGCTTCTCAATTTGCCGCTGCCAGCAAAACGCTTCTGCCCCTCTCCGCAGCCTCTCCCCGCGCCCTTCCCCGTCTTCTTCCTCTTTTTCAGGCCCCCTTCCTTTCAGAGCAGAAATGCCATTTACCCGTGGGCCAGGCACGTCCCAAGAAGGGTTGCCCACCCCGAGCTGCTCTCCAGGGCCACGACAGCGGCAGTGGGGGACGAAGCCGACCCGCCTGGGCTGAGTGTAGGCTGGGGACAGGCAGGAGCAGGGGAAGGCTGCAGCTCCCCTGGCTGGCTGGAGGGGTAAGGAAGTGGAACATCTCCCCGGTGAGGAGAGGCTGAGGGGGGGG